ACATGCAGTACACAGTTATGTCAAGTGACATGGTTATTAATAAGGAAAACAAAGATTATAATAATTTTTTTTGTCTACCTGATCTTTAAGCTCAGAAAGTTCTTCCTCTTCATATGAGGATTATCATCATAACAACCCACATGCAGTACACAGTTATGTCAAGTGACATGGTTATTAATAAGGAAAACAAAGATTATAATATTTTTTTTTGTCTACCTGATCTTTAAGCTCAGAAAGTTCTTCCTCTTCATATGAGGATTATCATCATAACAACCCACATGCAGTACACACAGTTATGTCAAGTGACATGGTTATTAATAGAGAAAACAAAGATTTTAATAATTTTTTTGTCTACCTGATCTTTAAGCTCAGAAAGTTCTTCCTCTTGTTCTGACAACCGTTCTCCTAGTTCCTTACTGATATGTTGTTCGTGATACAGTTCATCAGTGAGCTTCAGTTTGTCATCATTCTAACAACAGTTATAAACAATTCTTTCTTGAAAAAAACCCAAGTGTAAAGGTAAATAATTCAATGTTTATGACTTTTTACGACTGCTTTCCAGAGGACATATGTTTTAAGATAAAGTTTGAAGTTACTGAAGTATTTATGTTAACACTTGCCTTATTTAGCTAGGACTTAGTGACTTTCATACTTTTTTTGAAAATCTCAAAATAAGTTTTAGAAACCACGAAAGCTACTCTCATAACAAAATTCTAGATTAAAATGAATTAATTTGCTTATTTTCTTAACAGAAATTAAGAACGTTTCATGTCAGATTCAAAGGGGAACAGGTATAACCAGTGATCAAAATATCATACTTCTAGCAGTATCTCACTGAAATACACAGAAAATATATTCTTTACATTTTCAGGTCAGAAACAAAACAGTATATTATTTTATAAGCAAATGAGATTATTAGGTCACTTTACCATGTTTAACCACTTTAACTAAAATTTCAGGTAGATTATTTTTCTGTTTCAATATTTTGACTTTTTTTACAGTATTATTTCTGAAAAAATAACAACAAACAATAATCTATTACTGAAAAAAAGTCTAAATATGGAGATTACCTTCATCATTTACCATTGTAAAGAATTTCATCGAGATTATGATTCTGTTTCGATATTTCAAATTTTTACAAAATTATTTCTGAAGAAGAAGTTAATAAAAAGTAAAATAAAAACACTGGAATTTCATCACCATTTACTACCCTAATGATATAGTACTACGAATATGATATATGAGGTGAATTTTAATTTTAAAAGAAGTGTTATCATTTATGTAACTGTTTTCTTGTTACATGGAGCCACAAAGATTACTCTGAATGACCACTTTTGTTATTGCACTTCTCTTAATCTTTTGTTTCTATATAGTTGTTATTTTTTTTTATATTGCACAGATATTTGATATGCCAAGAAGTACTATATAAAGATATTTTTCAGTTTAAAACTAGTTCTGAAACATTCAAAATTATAAATTTGGTATTATGATAAACAATGAGAAAATTCCTTTATTACTTTTTCAATAGATCTCCTATAGCTTTGTTTTATCTTCTTTTTTCAGAAAACAAAAATACCATTAAAGAACCAAAATATTCAAACATGCTCCGACGACTTTTTTTATAATCATTATATTTGCACGTGCAAAACAATTTTTTATTATAATAGCATCCTTAAACAAAACTTAAAATATCCACTGCTTTGTTCCTGTTGACTCCCCATTGACCTGAAACTTGTGTAAAAAATCATTTTTGTGTATTTCAGTGAGATACTACTTCAATATTAAATCTGATACTAACTTTTGGTCACTTATCTTGCCAATGTTTTCTTTAAAAACATTTTTCTGCAAAAGTATTACATAGAGGGCAATAGGCAGGGTTAAATTATTAATAGTAGGAGCTAACCTAAAACTTTATAGTTTAAAAAGTTTTGATGTCAATATCAAGAAGAAACAAGGCATAATTAGTTTAATGAAATATGGAGTTGACTTGAATTAAAAAACCGAGCTCTGAATATCTGATGTCTGTTTTACGTATCAGCCATTTATTCCAATTGAGCAGTATATACAAGGAATGTACTAAATTTCCCCAGAAACTTTTCTGCTTATCAACATAAAACATTATCTCTGTAATTAATAAACTCAAATGTTATACCCTACTGTGTAGAATGTCTATCAAAACACAAAGATGGCTCATATTACTCAGCTATTAGTTAAATTACACACACACAGTACCAGTTTAACAAAACCATCTTGTAGTTCCTCCAGTTGTTGTTTAAGCTGCCTGTTCTGAGCCATTGCTCTGCTAGCAGCCACCTTTTCACTTTGCATTGTTTCCAGAAGCCGAGTCTTGTCAACCTGAGTTTCCTGTTGTCTTGAAAGGGCAGATTCTAATTCTTCCAGCTTTGACTCTCGCTCTTCCAACAGGTGGCTAATGTGAGCGTTGTCTCTGACCTTCAGCATTCAATGAAATAGCAGAAACGTTTTTTTAGTTCTTTCCATCAAGGTTTTAATACTTCATAAGCTATACATAAATTACTAATATATGCTGAACTAACATTTCTGCATAAGCCCCTGTTCCCCAAAATACATACACTTTCAAATTTCCAACCAGTTGAAACTCCACAACACTTCGTGCTGATTAACTTATGTTAAATTTTTAGGAACTTCATGTTAAAATCTAAAAATTATAAATTGTTTAGAAAATGAATTTTGTCTTTTTGATAATTTCTCGTAAGACTTTCAACAAATAAAATTTAGGTGTTTCTGTAGATTAAAAATAACTGAATGTCACTTTTTCCTTCAGAAACAACTTTAATACAAAATAAAACCTAAACCACCCTTGATGTTATTTTGGACTTAGGTGTCTGAATTCTTAAAATGTTTTTGGGGAAATAATGATATAAACAACAAAAGTGTAAGTTTCTATAATTAATTAAGAATAAAAAACAACTTTTTTTAAACTAGTTTCAAGTTATCTACAATAAAATAAAACTCATAGCTAAAAATATGAGCAATATCACAATCATTTGTATTTAACATAAACTGGTTAATTTTTTCAGTAGATAACAAAATTATTATATACAGAAACAGAAATGATTGTAGGATTATTAATTAATAAACAATGAGTGAGGATGATATATCTATATTACTTATAGAAACATTATTTTAAATGTGTAATAAGAGTTCAAACAAAGATTAAATAAGCAAACATTCTATACCTTTCCAAGAAATTATACTAATTGATACCAGTAGAAAATACAACATCTTATAGAAAAACACAGTAGAACATCCTAGCTGTAACTTATAACAGACCATACTTGAAGGAATGATTTTATTTAAAAACTAACTGTTAACAGAAACTGCTTGAAACCTAACATAAAAAAACAACAACAAAATCATTATATGTACCTTTAGAGATTGGAATCTATCCACAAAGTTATTCTTGTGCGTTTTTTTTTTTTGGAACTTCGCTCAAAACTACATGAGAACTATCTGCACTAGCCATCCCTAATTTAGCAATCAAGGACTAGAGGGAAAGCAGCTAGTCATCACCATCCACTGCCAACTCTCGGGCTACTTTTTTACCAATGAATAGTAGGATTGACCATCACATTCTAATGCCCCCATGGATGAAAGGGCGAGCATGTTTGATGGGACGGGTAATTCAAACCCACGACCAGCAGTTTGCAAGTTGATTGCCCTAACCACCTGGCCTTGCCAGGCCTTATTCATGTATAGGGTCTTGCATGATAACTTATTATACATGTTTCTTATTGTTATGAATCATATTCGGAAACACACACACTTTTGAGCCTGCTTTGGAGTATAAAAGTTTGGAGACAGCTTGACTGGGTAATGAAGAAAACTTTATTACAAATGTACAACCAGTCAAACTATCTAAACTTTTACTTACTAAAAAAAATAGGTTCTTTGTCATCAAATTACTTTGAAGAATGTTGTGTAACCATTAAAACATTGTTAATAATCATCTTAAAACATCTACAATATTACAGACTTTACTATATTCAAACTTTGGAGATTCATAAATACAAAAACATAAGTCACAGAGCTGATGCCTTGAAGGTTATAATATCTCAGATAGAGTTTGTGTTCATATATCAAGATGTGTAAAAATTCATCCTTGACTGGCTGAGCTAGAAACTTTTTGTGAACAATTTTAATGACCAGTCGAAAGTTACAAAGTATTACATTACTATATTTAATAGAACTGATTTCCATAGCTTCTCCATTAATTCAACACGTTTGTCTATCAATCTCTATTCATTACACAAGAATTCAACTCTGACTCACTTGACAATCAATTTCTTTCTTGAGTTTCTCATTTTCTGTACTCAGACTTTCTAACTTCCGATTTAACTCTTCAGCATCCTGATACCGAATTTGGGATGCCTCTAATGGACAAAATTTCTCAATCAGATTTATAATACTTAACAGCATCGCTAAATGGAAATAAATTAGAGCATGTACCACACACCTCCTTAGTGCTTCTTTCGAAGCAATAAAATCTAAAAGTAAATAAACCAATATTTGGTGCAAAGAATGATACAATACAAACATGCATAATCTGTGAGCTCCCTCCACTGTGTGGGTACAATTATAATATAATTGTCATTCTCTAGCAGTGAATTATACTATCAGAATCCATCACCCCCGACAGTGATCCATACAATAAGAATATATCACTCTCCCCCCAAAAAAACAGTGATTGATTAAATCATATTCTAATCAGAGTGAATGATACTATTGTATTTCAATCACTCCCACCCCACAGTGAATGACACTATCAGATTCTAATCAGAGTGAATGATACTATCATATTTCAATCACTCCCACCCCACGGTGAATGACACTATCAGATTCTAATCAGAGTGAATGATACTATCATATTTCAATCACTCCCACCCCACGGTGAATGACACTATGAGATTCTAATCAGAGTGAATGATACTATCGTATTTCAATCACTCCCACCCCACGGTGAATGACACTATCAGAACCTGATCTCTACGTTATCTATCATATACAAGGCTAGTTTTTTGTTTGTAGCATTTCATGTAAAGATACTCAAGGGCTTACTTCACTAGCCCTCTTTAATTCTGAAGTGATAGACTGGAGGGAAGACAGTTAGTCAACACTGCCCACCGCCAACTCTTGGGCTACTCTTTACCAATAAATAGTAGGATTGACCATCATATTATAACATTCACAGGACTTAAAGGTCAAGCATATTTGGTTTCGATACTGTGAACCACTAGATCATGCCAGGCCTCAAGGCTGGAGAAACAAACAACAACTCAATATTATCAAATCTCTATTACTTAATATATGCAAGGCTAGAGAAAGAAGTAAGAAATCAAACTTAACAAATATCCATATCATTTAAGGTGTAAAAGCTAAGGAAACGAACACAAACAGCAACTCAACAAATCTCTACAGATATAAAGTACAAGTAATGCTTACTCTTAGTTTTCTCGGAGAGTTCAAGCTTTTCTGATAATGATGATTTATCTTTAGCTAGAGCAGCTTTCTCAGCAATAGCTTGGTTCAACTGTAAAAAAAAAATTAGTTCCTAAATATTTATCAAATATCAATGCAGTTAATTTTAATTTTAGTGTTGTTAAATGAATGTACATAAATGTCACAGGATTTATGTTATAACTACAACTTTTCATCTAACACCAATTCATAAATACACTAGGTTTGATTACTTTTGTAAACATTATAGAAAACAGTTGTTTACAAACAGTCAGAAAATAAAGTTATATATAGCTGTTTCTCACATACATTTGAAAACAAAGAAACATATTGATCATATTCATCTAAAAAATAAGAATGTGTCTATATGTCCATCGAGTTTCATCAAAATCTAATTATTTTTGACTGAGTTATATAGCAAATATAGTGCGAAAAAATTGGTCCCTATGTTAACAAATGGGGATTCTTTTCATGACCTTGCTGTGTCCTTGACCCTCCAAAAACTAATCACTTCTAAGTTGGGTCATAGTCCAAATGTACACCAACTTTAATCCAAATCCATTCAGCTGTTTTTGAAAAATCTTGCTGACAAACACACGTTCACACAGTGGTGAAAACATAACCTCGAAACACCTTTGGTGGCAAAGGTAGTTAGGGTTACTTTCTTAAAGGTTCTACTGCAGTCCAATACATTTTTATTTTGTAAGCTGTAAGTCTATTTACTTGAAATTGGTATTCTTATACAATCATAAGTCTCTATTGTGCCTGCCAATGAGAACTGCCATGATTGTGATGTGTAAATTCAGTTTACATTCCGGATAAAGTTTTAACAAATTGCATTATATTTAAAGAATTGTGAGCTATGGAATTGTTTTCTCTGTACGATATTTTATTACCAAATTTCCTAAAACTATACAACATAACAACACAATGATACATCTGTTTACTTCATACCTTATGAAGATTTCTGTTCTCACACCACTTTATTACAAACATTATAACCAGAAATAGAGAAATATATTTTGATGTTTACTCATCTTCTAACTGCCTGTTAGGAAATCCTCAGTATAATTTGTGTGATCATTTGGAAGTCATATGATATACACTTAGTGTGTGCTTGAATTGAATTTTCTTCAGATGTAGCCTAACCAGTGAATAAAGATAGCAATATCCAGTACTGTTCACAGGAACTTTTCATTATGTGGATTTGAAGATGGATATTATGTTGTTGTTCACAGGAACCTTTTCATTATGTGGATTTGAAGATGGATATTATGTTGTTGTTCACAGGAACTTTTTATTATGTGGATTTGAAGATGGATATTATGTTGTTGTTGAACATTTGTCACTCTGTACTTTATCAGAAACATCAGAAAGTTTATTACGACTACATAAAAGATTATTTTTTCTGACCAATATGATTGTCATAGTTGTTTATGCACGTGTTCAATAACTGAACTATCTGTAAATCATCATAAAGTGCTAAACATTTTTGACACGTGTTCTTTAAAGCTTTAGCCACCATGGGTGAAGTGGATGTAAATTAGTTAAGCCACACAGGAAAATCTTCTGCCTGTGACAAGTAGCTAATTGCAATGTAGGGCTACATGTGAATCCATTATTATACAATATACAAATCTTTTTCCAGCCCTACATGTAGTGTTGACTCACGTCTCAGCAAAATAGGTTGTCAGTCCAGAAACCTTCAGGCATTTGTTAAAGAGACTGAATACCAACAGGAGCTAAAAAGCACTAAAATGTTTTTCATAAAAGATATCAACACCCATATTTATACTCACATGAATTGAACATCTACTTTTTGTTCTAAAGTAGTTTTAATTTATTTTTCCATTACACATCAAAACTTGTCCTAGAAGTGTTTTGATCATCACAGTACCAAGTATACACACTGTTATCTTCCATTGTTGTTTAATTTTGAGTTAAAAATCATATTACAATCCAAATGCATTTATAATTTTTTCAAGTATGTATTGCACATTGATATGTACATGTATATTTACTTCTGTTCGTACGGTTGAGAACTTTTTATCTTGGTTAAAAAATGATGTTATTGTCTTTAATGAAGATACAGCTCTTGCTTAAATAATGTGTCCTCATCTCTAACACCATGAGAAACCTTAAAATCTAACTAGCATGGTTGACAGTAACTGTTCTGGTTTTTCCAATATTGTAATTACTGGGACTTCACTCTGTATTAAAATTTTCTTTATTCTGATATCACTTAGGTGCATTTCTTTGAGTTGAAGGCATATCTGGGCAACTTTATTAAAGTGAATTTGTGTGTTTGGTTTGTGTGGAATTTTGTGCAAAGCTACACGAGGGCTATCTGCACTAACCATCCTTAAGTTAGCACTGATAGATTAGATGGAAGACAGCTAGTCAACACAACCCACCAGCAGCTCTTCAGCTATTCTTTTACCAACAAATAGTGGGATTGAATTTTACACTCCCACAGCTGAAAGGGCAGCCATGTTGGATGTGACGGGGAATTTGTTTGTCAAAAATCTTATGAATAACCAGCTTGGTAGCCTTTTCAACAAAGACCTGTACCAAAAACAGTTGGCCATGTTACAAATAATGCTGTTAGCCATTCTGACAAAAGCAGTTTATTGGATTTTTTTTTTCAAAGTATTCTTATAAAACATATTTCATTTGTATAATATCTATAAAAACAAACTGAAAAACCTTTTGAGTGTAGGGAAAAAATATTTTCTCCCAAATTTTTAAAGTAAAAATACATAAATCAAGTCTTATTCAATAAAATTGTACTTTCTTTGTACTGGAGGGCAGCTCTGTAGATAAGCACTTAAAATCTGAGACGACATCAAAAGTTCCAGTTGTGAAGAGTTGAAATTACATTTTAGAAACCGGTTAACATATAGTTTTGTACTTGTATCACAAAAAGTACAAAACAAAGGACTACGGTACCTCATCTCTAGCAGATGTAAGTTCTTGACTCAGCTTGTGAACGTAGTCCTGGTAATGTTTTGACATCTGATCTCTCTCTGTTGTCAGTCTCTGAACTGATTCTTTGTACTAAAGAGTAGAAGACAACTTTTCATATCCATAAACACGTGTAATTCATAAAAATATTAAAATTTATACCTATACAGAGGGACTAAGAAAGTAAAAACTCTTGTTTTTACATAAAATATTAATTTTTCTAATTTAATACACTTGGCAAAAATGAATCATTACTTTTGTTAACTCAAAAATTAAGTCCACATGTAGATTTAACTGCTCTACGAGGTCATAATAACTTCTACAAGGATAACTAAATATATTATTAAAAATATATGAAAGGTGGCTTTATTTGTTTGGATTTAAGCACAAAGCTAAACAATGGGCTATCTGTGCTCTGCCCACCACAGGTATCGAAACCCGGTTTCTAGCATTGTAAGCCTGCAGACATATTGCTGTGCCACTGGGGGGCAATAAAGGTGGCATAAAAGCATAATTTACTGAAACTTAATACTAGCTACAGTATCAAGTAACTTAACTTCATATGGTAAAGTATTATCTATTTAGTCTTAACAATTGCAATTAGTAATATAGAATGTTGTACACATCCCTAATACTATATGTGCATATTATCCAATGAATAATAACTCCATTTTAGGCAACTTTTTAAGTTTTAATAATTAAGACGTCCTATTGTTCCACAATTTGGTTGTGCAAAACTGATAAAAGCTAGTTACAAATAGTTAACACCTCCATAGGGTGAACACAAACCACAAAGATTAAATGATAATTCTAAATGTTAGATGTAACTAAAGAAAATTTATTGCCCTTTTCAAAAAATTCTAAGGACTGTATTTTTATAACTCACTTTTTACGAAGGTAAGGAAAGAATATAAAAAAAATAATGAAATCAAAACACATAATAATTCACTTTTTTATTTATTTTACATATTTTTATCATTAAGCTACTGATTATATAATATGCTTTTATCCAACCTACTAAAATAATTGCATTCTTTAATATGGAAAGAATGAATAGGAAATGTTTTCAGATAATATCTTGAGAAAGCCATAGCCTTAGAATGAGAAGAGCAACCATTGGGAAACTACTGGCTAAGAAAAAATGACATAAATATCATGTGAGCACCCTTTAGCTTAAGAAACATATAATTAGATTAGCAAAACTTTCTTTATTATTAGGGTAGCTAACAAATCCTGCTCTTCAACAATGAGGGCAAAAGGGTCTAAGTAAAAGATCAAATATAGTTAAAACTGCATAGGCGACGAAAACATCCAAAATTAAATAATAGGTTGAACAATCACCAAGTTTTGTATATTTTGTTTAAAGAAGGATGACATTTTGAGATAGTTCTCTTCGTCATCCTTCTTTAAATAAAAAATATAAACAAATTTGGTAATTGTTCAATCTAAGTGAAAGATCAGTTTTGTTTTATCCTTCTTGTACTTATCACGAGAAAAAAAAAGTAGACATTTGAAAATGAGCATCTACAAGAATGTGAAACCAACTAAGGACCAGCAAACAATTAAAAATTATAAGCTTTAACGAGTTGATTGATAAGGGCCACCAACATCCTCCCCATATTCAGGATGCAAACCACACGAGTAAAGTCTCCAAAGAACTGCAGAATTTCTGATACTGGTACAAAGACTTGCAGCAGTAGTTAACATTGATATCAGTTGATTAATAAGGGCCACCAACATCCTCCCCATATTCAGGATGCAAACCACACGAGTAAAGTCTCCAAAGAACTGCAGAATTTCTGATACTGGTACAAAAACTTGCAGCAGTAGTTAACATTGAGATCAGAATTCACGGTGAGTGAAGTTAACAACACAAGTATCAACAATAAAATCTGAATTATTTAGAGAAAGCAGAGTTTATTGTAACTTCTCTTGACATATGCATAATAAGTTATGTGGAAGAGTGGAGAACTATTGGTAATATCACAATTCCTCTGCATTGAATCAAGGACATTCAGAATTTTGAGTCGCATGGTAGTTGACAGCAAGAGAGTAATTACTCAACAAAGATATGCTATCAGTATTAGAAAGGTAAGTATACCTGATTTTAATACAACTTTCAATAACACTATACCTCAGTTACTTTTTTCTCAAGATCAATTTTGGCACGGTGTACTTCTTCCAGTTGTTGCGGGTTTTCTGTTTCGCTACTGAGGGAAAGTTGCTTTATGTGAAGTTCAGCCATAGCCAGCTTACTCGAGATATTACTTAGGTCTTTCTCTTGGACTTGACACTCTACTAGCTGATTAGAAACAAACTTGAAATCTTAATTAACAGATTCACTGATACTTGACAATTTAATAACATAGCCCACAACCATATAATCTATGTAAAAAGAAAGAAACTACCAAAATCCTAATTTGAGAATGTTTCTTTTTAAAACATCACTTACTTTTTCATAAATTCTTTTATTATACAACCTTATCAACATACAAAAAGCTTAATCTAATTATCTGAGGATACAACTAACACAATTATCCGGAAAAATTCTCAATAATATTCATAGTCACCAGTAACTTGTAAAGTAAGCAAATATTTTACATTTCTTTTGCAATAGTTCTGATAAAAAGTCACACAAAATTTTTTCAGTCAATGTATAACCAATTTTATTTTGTGTGGGGGGAGGTTAGTCACTTTACCTTGCTTCTTTCTTTATTTCAGGGTAAAAGTGTATACGCCATAACCTTTTACAGTAATATTCAAAATTTAATTGAATAACTTTATTACCAATAATATCAATAGATATATTACTAAAACAGTTTATAATTCATCTATTTATATCCTGTTTTAATTTCTTAATTTCATGAAAATGTTTAGAAATTTCTCAATTTTCACTTTTCTGTGTTGTGTGACAGATCGTAGCTTCAAATTCTTCACTTCAAAATTTTTAATTTGTACAATAGACTGTTGCAGTTTTCAGTCAATTAGAAACACAAACTATAGATAATTACATGAAAATCTAAAATTTGAGCCTTCTACCTTCTTCATTTGCTAAGCAACTTTAGATTGATTGTCATGTTTATGTGTGTTTCATAGCAAAGCCATATCGAGCTATCTGCTGTGTCTACAGAGGAGAATTTTAGTATCGTAAACCTGGAGACATACCACCATCCCACTGGAAGACTGGCATGTTTATAACCAATAACAATAGCAAATTCAGTTCTATATCAAGTTTACAATAATCCTTTTGATTTTGATGTGTAGAGTATTCATTTGGTAAAAATATATTGTTGTGTCACCATCATTTTACTGGTTTAAATGGCTAACAGAATTTTTTCAACCCATTTATTGTTTACTTATTAACCAAGGTAAATTATGGTACTTTTGGGACACTCTATTCTGGTGACTAATATATTTCTTATATTCTACAATTCATATTTGAATGCTACATGAATTACTTTTGAAGATCCAAGTGTGTAAGATTCACCAAGGCTTACTGCAGTTATACCATGATTGCAAAGATTTGTTGGTGTTTGAATAAACTCTATAGAAAACAGCTAATGGGTTCTCACTGTGATTTATTGCTCTCATCATTACTCCAGTGGGTACAAAGTACAGCAATAACATCATAAAATTAAAATAAAACAAATATGAAAAGATTAACAGTTGAAACTGTGAAGATAAGCGACTTAAACATCTCAAGATAACTTATGCATTCAAAGAAGAAGCACAAAATGGTATTTTTTTCACTGTACATTCACGATTTTATTACAATTAGTGTTAGGGTAAAAAAAAGAAAGACATAAAATACAGTTTTATAAAAAAAAACTTCTGATATTCATTTAGGAGGTTCCAGAGGTTATGCAAATGAAATAAGAAAACTGTAAAATGAAGTTTCTTAGTATGAAACACATCTTTTATTCACAATGGCTCATAGGTTTTACAAGTTCAAGGACAAATATTTAGTAAAAATAAATTATTTTAAAGAAATCTGATTTTTTTATGTACAAAACACTTGTAATGTTTACTAAAAGCTTACCAAATTTCATGAAGATACACTTAGTACAATCACAGTTATGATATGTAGTTTCATGGTTACAAGGTACTTCTAGGGTTGGTTGAATTCGCCAACTTTGTACTGATAGTTAAATGTATATAACTTATGAAACAGACCAAAATGCTTGTCAGTAATCAGTCAAAACCACATATAAATTTGTAAATTGAATCTAGAAGAATATATATATAGCTATACATTTATACAGATTTTCCTAAAAACAAAAATTATGTGATATAGAAATATTCTCACCTTTTTATTTAGTTTCTCAGCTAACTCAGAATTTTGATGTTTTAGTTCTTCATTTGATTTACTAAAATAAAATTATAAAAAATGGAATGAATTACCATAAGGAGCAAAAGTACTCAATGAAAGTTTGACAACTGTTTCAAAGAATTCTGAAATACAAATTGTAACAAATTCTTCAAATAAGAACACTTAAATTACAGTTTAGAGTTACAGTTTAAATGCTGAAAGTAGATATAGGATATATTTCTACACACCCCCTAACATTAAATATACAATGGTCAAATTAAGAAGAATGTGGTGAGAGGAAAAATTTGCAGTTAACATGGTTTTTATCACAGGTTTTAGGCCTATTGGTTCAAGTTTCAATAACATTTACATTAAAGTTAATTTTTTTCACATAACAGAACTCCTAATTCATTACTAAATTAAACAATTACTAGAAAACTTGAAAATATCATGCTGAAAAAGAAAAAAAGGATTCACAATCTGTGTGGCCTTTGCAGATAACTGGTCAGCTGATGTAAACTTTCAGAGAGCATTGCAAGCTATAATAAAAATCAACCACAATTGATTTACCATTCCAGTCTACTGTATATATTTACCATTTTGAACTTAAAAAATTACACTGAAAAATGCATAATAAGCTACCACAAAGGATTTACTGTTTGACTACATTAGTGTAGTTTCTCCCATAAATATTGTCCTTACAGCCATTTTTTTTTATATACTAATTTTAACAAGTTTTACAACTATTCATAATCATGCCTGGATTATTAACTTGAAATAAATGTCACTGGTGGTAAGTGGTCAAGCACCAGAACCCACTTTCCTTTTGCCAGCTATATACAGCTAATTTTGAGCCTTGGAAAATCATAAAATAAATGAATTGTAAACTTATTATGAAGTAAAAAAGTTTGTGGGGATATGAATCTTCAATCGTTTTATAATCATGATACCTCACCTTAAGAAATTAAGAGGATACAAATTTAGAAAACAGCATTTATGGGGAAAAATTTCAGATTATTTTAATTTGGTAATTGAAAATACATGTGCCTCAAGCTTTGTCCTACTTATACCTAGTTAAGTTTTAGCTTTGTGAAATGCTACTCTAGAGCTATCTGCTCTAGCCATCTCCAGTTTTGATAAGTTAGAGGGAAGGTAGCTCGTCAACACCTCCCATTCTTGGGCTACTCTCTATCAATGATTAGTGGGATTCACAGTATTATATCACCCCTCACGACTGACAGAGGGAGCATGTTCAGGGACAGCCTTCGATTCAGTGACCTGCACATTGCAAGTTTAGCACCCTATCCACCAGGCTGTGTCAGGTCTCATTAGCTTCGTAGAGACTGGAGAGAACAATTCATACCAAAAAATTTTAGACTATGTGAACCATCTCACCTCAATTTATAATTTTCAAGCCTCAGCCTATCGAGTTCTTTGGAAGATTCCTTGCTACTCTGTAATAAACATAGCAAAGTCTAAAATAAGCCTTAAATTTTAAAAAAGCTACAGTAATCATAATTTTTAGCACAAAAAAATGAAGTATCTCTTCCGAATATCATTTATTAGATGAAAGTCCTAGGACTTTTTGCCATCATAAAAATTATATTTAATGCTACAACAAATTTAGTTATAAATCAGCAAAAGTAGGACCTACGAATTATTTTCTTCTAAAACAAAATAATTTCTCCTCTTTGCATCAGGATTTCAGTGAAAACATTTTTAAGCAAAGTAAAATTTGTTGTTCAGCAATATCACGGGAAAAAAAAGCTCACATCTGCTGCAGGGTAAAAGTTATCATTTAGTTAGCTAGCTTAAAAGCGATATACGATAGCAACTACAAGTAACAACTGGCTTTGAGGTGTGTTATAGGACTGAAATTATACAGTAACAACTGGCTTTGAGGTGTGTTATAGGACTGAAACTATACAGTAACAACTGGCTTTGAGGTGTGTTATAGGACTGAAACTATACAGTAACAACTGGCTTTGAGGTGTGTTATAGGACTGAAACTATACAGTAACAACTGGCTTTGAGGTGTGTTATAGGACTGAAACTATACAGTAACAACTGGCTTTGAGGTGTGTTATAGAACTGAAACTATACAGTAACAACTGTCATCATTTAACTAGCATTGGGATGCGTTAGGGACTAATTATGAAATTCTTAAAGAAAATAACTTTATTTTTTAATTTTCATCAAATATCTGTGTGTTCACAATTATTTGTACACTACTGCTATAACCAAAAAATAACACAAGTTTAGCTTATGGATTCAATAGGAATGTAAATTAGCCAAGCCTTGGATAGAATCATAGTGGAAAATTATACCGAACAGCATTTACTAAGGTTTTTATTACAGTATATTCATATTGTTTAAATGGTTTCCTCTTCTGTGCTTTAATATCCAAAAACGTGGTAGTTGACATACAATTGTTGAGACAGTAGGGGGGGGGGGAATTAACAGTTAATCAAATGATTCATTTAATATACAAACCTTTTCTAGTTGTTGAGTTGAACTACATACATTAGACAGTTCCCTTTCCAAGTCAGAAACACGTTGTCGTGATGCTCGCAACCTTCCTTGCAGTTCTTCAATTTCCACTTGAAATAATATATTTAAATTCTAAGTAAAATAAACTATATTTTACATTACACGTGTAACCAACAAATTTACACAATTAAAAATTTCTAAGACAGACAACTGGAAATTAAGCTACACAGTTTCCCATCCTGGGCTAAATACCTTGTAGCAACACAACATCTATCAAACAAGCTTTAAATCACACATATTTTTTAAATAAAAGAAAAATACTTTAATGACAGACTTATAATGTTTTACACTGTGAAATATTAAACAGGTTATCTAGATGTATAATGTTTTGGAAATTTTAAAGTACAGAAGTTCAAGTATATTAGCTATTATAACTGCATATGAAAATATACATAAATCACAGTTTCTCACCCGCTTTCTGTTTGGCGGTTTGTTGGTTCTGAGACACGGTAGACTGAAGTTCTGTTTTTTCGGCAACTAAAATACCAATGGTTTGTATATGAACCTGTAACTGGTCTTTTAACGTAGTTTGATCTCTATGGGCTTTTTCTTGTAAGTCTCGTCGTTCTCTTTCAAACTCTCTTTGTGCCCGACTTATCTTTGCTTTCTATCAAGAAAGTATATTAACACTAAAGCTATGAGGTAAATATAGAAAACATTAAAATACAGGTTTGTTTTTCTATTCATACTCTAATGCATATAGTCTTAGGATAAACAGGTGACTACTAAATTCCTCTCGTGCTTTCCAGATGAATGAATTTCTTCACTTCAAGCTCAGGATATATCTGAAGCTAAGTGCCCTGGAAAGCTTTCAAGCTAGAGTCACTTACAAAATTACTTTAAAAAGCAGGAAAATTCCTACAAAATCTGGCAGCTAGATTTGTACATTTTGTTATGTGTCACAAGAATGTTGACCATAAAAAAAAAAAAGTTATGATAAATAACAACAACAAAAAATTTTTAAATGCTGAGTTTGGAGTTATTTATTTAAAGTTGAATTTGTTCTGTCAGGCTTGTTAGCATTCATCCTTCACTGCTTAATCAGATTTAACCGAGCGTAATGCACCACAATCTATATTAAAATCTTCAATGTTTAATTAAACTTAATGCAACATAAGATTTTTCTTATGTAATAAAAAGTCTGAATTATACATGACTATTGCACACAAATATAGGTGAACACTACCGAGAGAGTAAAATTGTAATTCACAAAATTCAAAATTAAATCTTGAACCCAGAAAATGATGAAAATATTACCAAACTAATAAACTACAACTAAAAGATACAAATAAAATATTCTTCACAATGAAGAAGAAGTAAAAAAAAAACATGATAATTAAACCACATGTAACAACAACTTTAGATTTTTACTCAGAGACGAAGTACAAAAATTCTCACTTCCAGTAAAGTTAGAATAATGTGACTTGTAAGTGCTACTGCAGCCAAGTTACATTAATTTTGAAATAACTAAAATTGTACTAAAGATATATAAAATGATATTCTACTAAGACATTTTTCTGTACACATTTATTTTATTAAATATCATAAGAATAGTAGAAAAAACAACAACACAGCTTTACACTATTAAGATTAAAAGTTAGATATAAATATAATACTGTTGTAAATTTTGGAGCTATGAATCTTGAGAAACTATCATAAGGTCAGACAAGCATTCCAGGAAATGCTTATTTTATATACGTAGTAATGTTATATTCAGATTACAAATGCATAGAATAGGATAATATTATTTAAAAAAGAAATGTTAAACATGGGATAGAATTCTTCACAACCAGTTGTGAATTTAACTTAAAATGAAGTTTGACACAATTTTTTTTATCCTAAAAAATAAAAACAAATTAAGCACTTTAAGATACTTTATTCTTTCATTAAAGTCAATTAAAGCTTCACTAAATCCACAGTAAATGTTTCAGAAGTGTAACCATGAAAAGCAACTGATGTAATGTTTAATGTTTTTTTACTTTATGTTATACTAACCAGTTCTTGAAGCTGATACTCCAGCTGCTCATTGGCTTGTATATGACCCTCTAGCAAGTGAGCAAGCTGTTGATTCCTTCTCTTCAATTCAACATTACTACTTTTCAATGGCACTTCTGGTTCAATCTCTCCATTTATAAAAGCATGTGTCTCACACATTAAACCATTTGGTTGATGCGTATTCTGTGTCAAACTTTCTGTGGATGACAAGTTCCTAAAAAGACAAACACAACAGAGGAAACTATGAAAAACAAAGAATGTGTTATAAATAAATAAGAGTATGATTAGTAACACAAAACAAAAATAGGAATATTAATATTAAAACAAAACCAAGTACATTTACTTGAGGTAGTAGGACTTACAAAGTCTTGGATTATGAAGTTTGAAAGAGATTACACTTATCAAATTTCATATTTTATAATGTCTTTCTATTATGAGTACTACATTAGGTTTAATAATGGAAAGTCATGAGATCCAAGATGAATGATAAATGTGTAGTGTAAGTTTGATCTGGTAATCAGCTATACAAGAACAAAAGCTACGAGTTATATGATCGCTTTTGACAGTTAAAATAAGCAGAAAATGTTACAGTGCCCCAAAAATATTTCTTTTAAGTCACTGGTCTAATAGAAAAGTGACTTGACAACTTCACTGGTCTGTGTCTAAGCCAACTGACTTGCCGGTCTTGCACTGAGTTGAAGCATTGAGCCAAACCACCATTTTTAACACTTTAAGATGTTATTAAACACAAATTTACTTTTATAATAATAACATAAATTACTCTCACATTGGTCCAACTGGAAAAAAGAAATTCAAGCATTTTACTGAGGTTTAAGATGAATAATGTTTAAAACTTTTCCAGCCTTCATTTGTTTACTTAATTGCAAGAGGACATTTCACAAATTATCTACAAAAACACAACATTATTAACCTTTAGAAAAAAATAAAATACTTGTCATCTTAGAATTTAAGATAAAGTAAGATCAACACAAATCAGTATTTATGAGAACTTGAAAATCTTAATTAAAATTTAACATGTTTGGAATAAAAGATAGTCATGAAACAGTATATAAGAACAAATATTTATGATAACTTTTTTTTACTTGGAAACTAGCAGTTATTTCCAGATCTATCCTACTAAATTTAATCTTGTAAGTCAATGAGATGGAAATTAACATGACATACAAGTTCAAAAACAAAAGTCTATCTTGGTTTCAGTAATCACAAGTTTGGGTAGTTCCAAGCATAGTTCACTGTGCTTGGAACTTAATTTCCGATAAACATTAATCCATTACGTGCGGCAGGAGCAGCTCAATGATTGAAATTATTGGATAGCAGTTGTTTTACACATCTTTTTACGAACTTTTGAGCTGTATTTTTCTAAACATGGCCTTACACACATAATTATGTACTATAATAAGAATGGCATTAAATTACTTAATACACTGTACACTGTAGATCAGGAGTCCCTAACCTACTGTGCTCCATGAGCCACATTCAATGCAAGGGGCAAGCCACATTGTTTACTCTCTAGCCTACATGATTTGACTGCAAGCAGTTCTTGGGGTGCATTATAAAGCCATCCTATTGAGTGACAAAGCAAACTGGTGGTTTGTCATGAAGTATGATTTCATTTGTGTGAACAGTAATAATTAACTGTTTTAAGTGACAAGTAACAGCCTGCAACTTTAAACAGTTTTATTGTCAACATGTTACTTGCTAGTTACACTTTGTAAATCCCTACTCTACATAGAAGGTTTGGTGTGTGTTGAATTTTGCGCAAAGATACACAAGGTCTATCTGTGCTAGCCATCCCTAATTTAGCAACGAAAAACTAGAGAGAAGGCAGCTAGTCATCACCGCCAAATCTTGGCCTACTTTTTTTACCAACAAATAGTGGGATTGACTGTCACATTATAACAGCCCCTCGGCTGAAAGGGTGACCATGTTTGGTGGGACGAGAGTTTCAACCCAAGACCCACAGATTGCGAGTCAAGTGCCCTAATCACCTGGCCATGCCGGGCCCTACATAGAAAGAACTGCTATAACCCAATCATTTGATTTAGCACAAAAGTGTACATAACCAAGAAGAAACAAACATTGAATGTGAACCACAAATTATTCATGTACGAATGACAAAACCTATTCTTTTGCAGAGTTTAACACTGGAAGGTAATTATATAAAACAAAATATTCTTACATGATTCACTTTGTTTTGCAATGTACCTTTATTAGAAAAAAAATTATTGAACATGTTGGAAGAATTAACTTTTAGTTTAATAGAATAAAACAGTTACTCAGTTTTGTATTAATTACATGGTTTATAATGCTGAAAATGAAACAGTGAAAATAACTGCAAGTATATTTAAACAGTGACAGTCTTTTCCAGTAAACAGTAAAATATTAACAACTAGCTGGAGTACCCGTCCCCTGGAGGGAAGTTATGTAAATTCATGATGAATGAAAGGTTATCTTCGGAGATGAAAAGTTGCTTCCCTTATATGTAATTGTAAAAAAATACAAAAATGGCCATAGAAACTGCAAAACACAAAATGTGAACCTGCAATTTTGCATGTATCTTTCCACGGAACCAACAAACCTTCATGCCAAATTTGGTGAAGATCCATCAACAGAGGGCGAAGTAGTGGTAAAAAACGTGAAAATGCAAAAACACCCATAAAAACAGCAAAACTTAAAATTTGTATGCGTCTCCCCATGACCCCAATAAATCTCTATATCAAATTTGATGAAGATACATCCACACCCTGTGAAGTAGTTACATGGACAGACAACAGACAGTACTATTACACTTTTTTTTATTATACTTACATTTCTTTATACACCAGCATGGAGATAAAATCTGGTATAGATTTGGTTCAAGAAAATGATTGATAAAACTGTCTATGATCATATAAAGTTATTTGTAAGCAATTATTCTAAATGTTTAATTCTTGAAAACTTGGCCAGAAGTGAGTTCAAATACCTAATTTAAAAACTAAGATTGAAATAGTTTACAGCAGGGGCATTCCCCTTAACTCCTATAGAATAAAAGAACATCTTCAAATAATAAATATTACCAAAACATTTGATAATATGCTGCTTCGTTTGTTAATTAATAATCACTATTAATCAGTTGTTAAAAGAAAACTTCACTGATAAATTTACACAGATGTCAACAGATTCATTCTATAACAGATGTTACTTACCTATTTCTTTCAAGGACACTTGACCGAGTCTTGATTGCGTTCAGCATACAAGAAGAGACTATGTTCTAGAAAAATACTGACAATCAGGATAAGCATGATCAGTTATCTAGCATTATGTAAATTTTAACATTATGCAACACACGCAATGTATTTATCATAACTATTTTCCAAAATTTTGATAAACAAATTTTAGATGTTAGCTTCTTTAAACCAATAAACTAAATATGTGATTCACAAATGTACATATAGTTTAGTGAAATATTGTACACGTACACTACTAACAATAGTGTATACATACACTGCATTAAAAACTATTGTACACATAAACTGTACTAACAATATTGTACACAGACACTGTATTAAAAACTATTGTACACATACACTGTACTAAAAATATTTTACACTATTACACTCACACTGTATTAAAAATATTTTACACTATTACACTCACACTGTATTAAAAATATTTTACACATACACTATACTAACTATATTATACACACAGTGTATGCAAATATACTGTACACACTGTATTAAAAATATTTTACACATACACTATACTAACTATATTGTACACACACAGTGTATGCAAATATACAGTACACACTGTACAAAAAATATTGTAAACACACACTGTAGTAACAGAATATTGTACACATACACTTTACTGAAAATAAAAAATATGATATACATATAGTGTTTAAACAAATTTCCCCTTTTCATTCTATTTCTGTCAGTACAGACTTAAACATATGGTACTCAACTTTATAAAAATACATAATTGTTCTAATTGACATTAAAAACTTATGTTAGTCTTCACTTTTAGTTACCTTGCAAAGCCTTGCACAAATAACAATGCAAGCGATCACTGATTAAAAATGCTGATTACATTCCAAAGCCTTTGGTATATTAGCTTGTAATTTAAATGATATTCATTATAAATATATTTTTTCTTGTCTCAACATCTTAACTAAACCCAATAAGATTACTATGGGTTAGGCTTCAAAATTCACATGTTCTATTAATTAATTAATTTGAATGATGTTTAAACTCGCTAACAGCTCATGATCATGTACATGGTTTCACTATATAATAAAATAATAGATGGTCGAGGCATTTATGAATACATTGTACTGCTAAAAGAAAAGAAAGGGGTCCGTCCAAGTAATCATTGCCTAATATGATGTAGAAATGGTCTGGGCCTAAATAAATGCTCTGAAGTAAGGTCAGATATACTTTTCCTTCATTGCTGCTTACAGAATTCAGCCCCAGTTGATGACAATCTGAAGGCCATCATCTAAGCTACAGGCTTAATTATTCCAGATTCTTCTAAACTTATTCTACAAAGTTTAGAATTAGGCTCTGAATGGGCCATTTTGAGATGTTGATAATGTACCAATAATAGGATATTCTGTATATTTTTTGTGTCAGAAAACATTATCCTGCTACATTGGACCACTTATATTCTAACATGGCTCCTGAAATGTATTCATTTAAAGTTTCTTGATATCCAAGGGTATTTAAATGTGCAGACTTATATGCCCTAAAATGACAGCCAATCATCAAGAATCCATGTTGATGGACTCACACAAAAACAAAATGATAGTGAACATTTCTGAGGAAATGCGCATATACCAAAGTAAGTATATTCATGGAAATATTTTGTAGAGACTTCACAAGTGGTGTTTGTACTCATGTGGTTACATTGGATGCAATACAACCATCGAGTAAGTTACAAATATGATTTTCTGTTGTTTTTTTTCCTCAAAATTCTGACAAAAGAATAATTTTCCCACTTCAACAGTACTTTAGATTAATAGTAATATATTTTAAATGTCGTACACGAGTTCCTGATATTTTTGAATAAACTCAAACAACATTCTATGCATAGACAATAACTTCTGATCAAAGTAAATACATAGATTAGAACTAAAAAATAACTGAAAAAGTTAACCTATTATCTCCTAGTTCTAAAAGTTGCAATTTTTTGTATCTTGTGCACACTATTGTTATACTAATCTATATGATGTGCATCTGTATCTATTCCCAATGAGCATGCTGGGTAGACCTTTTCAAATGTTCAAAGGGTGGTTGGATACTTTTAGCAGGGCAATGTACTCTTAATTTGTTCCATTACAAATTATAATGAAACTTATTACTTAATTAACCAAAATTCCACAATAAAGTTTTTACTTATAGTTATTTGTATTGAGATTATTTTACAACTTAAGCTTTATAAATTCTTTGACTCGTATATGAGTTGTAAGATACTGGTAATAAAAAAAACAAAAACAAATATAGAAATATCATGCAGTTTCCATACATATAGCAAATTTCATTTAGGTAACATTTTCAACATGAAAAAAACATAACATGCTAATCCCATGCAAGTAAAAACATTTTATAAGTATACTACTACTACTACAATAAAATTTAGAAACTTCACAAGACAGACATCACAAACATGAAAAGTCAATAATCAAGTAATAAAGACAGTGCAACATTTATAATGGATTTAAAAGCAGTAATGCATTATGGGTGTCAACGTTCATTAATCTACAATTATGATTTCCTAAGTGTAACTATCAGTTGGTGTTTAACAGTTATTTTTTTTTGTTTCTCAGAATAAACTGTAGTAGATGAGGCAACATTTCATAATTTTTCCCTACAATTTAAATATTAAGATTATAAAATAATAAACCCAAATAACATCTTTTGTTCTTCTTTCTTTCTTTATGAGATCACCACCAAAGTAGTGTTTGTTTGCTTAAACTTAACCCATGTTTTTTTAAAAATTTTGATAAGTGATAAAAATGTTTTATTTTATACTCTTAGACAGTACTACATTTAAGCAATTTAAAATGGAGAACATACCTGTATTACAGTGATTTACCGAATTGCTTAGCCACTTTTATCTACTCGTTGACATCAGGTTTGAACAAATTTTCACTTTCAAATTTGTCTGATTGTGCAATCACAAGTTAATCATTATTTTTAAGTTCCAAGTCTACAGTGTTTAATAGATTAGTAACAACAACGAATCACATCTAGTCATCACTAAATACTCACAAAGTCAATTTTTCACATTGGTATTCTTTCTCTGGAGTATATCTTTTATATTCACAAAACAATTACTGAATTTTGCAATTTTTGGATGCTTAGACAACATTATGGTACATTTGTTATGGTCTGTCTGGGTCATTTACACAGTTAATTGTCATGAATGAAGATTCATCTAGTCAACCTATTACACATTTCAATGTCAGATGCAAAGAGTAGTTTATAATGTTAAAAAAATACTGTAGCTTACATTTATTCTATATTGTTTCCTCCCTAAAATGTACATTTTAAGTTTGGCTAATTTTTTGGGGTAGGTCAGGTTAGGGCAAACAAATTTGCTTTTACTTTTGGCCTGATTAACAACTCCATTTTTAACACCTACCAAATCAATATCTTGTTGTTTAGCTAATGCTTCAGAATTGTCGCTCAACTTTTCAGATCTTTTCTTTGCTCCCTTGTTTTTTTGCTGGAATTTCTTCAACTGCAAATAAAAGGTTTGGCCTAAACCTTATTTATAAAATATCCAAGATATTAATATGATTTCTTGTAAAAATAAAGACTGAATAATCAATACTTTCTAGTTGGAAGATATGAATCTACCTATATTAATAGGTGCTAAGCATTTAGCATTAATGCTATAACCAATAATAATGGTACAAAAATCTTAACTTTAATTACAAAGTACCAATTTCTTTGTTATAAATCTAGAATAAATTACTTTTTGTAATTTAATGGAAAAAATATACTTCTCAAAATAATTAAGAGATAATCAGAGTTTACTATATTCAAGTTATGACAAGGCACGGTTACTGTTATCATATAATGTCAATTGATAAATAATCAGTATTATATTCAAGTTATGACAAGGCACGGTTACTGTTATAATATAATGTCAATTGATGAATAATCAGTATTATATTCAAGCTATGACAAGGCACGGTTACTGTTATCATATAATGTCAATTGATGAATAATCAGTATTATATTCAAGTTATAACAAGACACAGTTACTGTTATCATATAATGTCAATTGATGAATAATCAGTATTATATTCAAGCTATGACAAGGCATGGTTACTGTTATCATATAATGTCAATTGATGAATAATCAGTATTATATTCAAGCTATGACAAGGCATGGTTACTGTTATCATATAATGTCAATTGATGAATAATTAGAGTTTACTACATTCAAGTTATGACAAGGCACGGTTACTGTTATCATATAATGTCAATTGATGAATAATCAGTATTATGTTCAAGTTATAACAAGGCACAGTTACTGTTATCATATAATGTTAATTGATGAATAATCAGTATTATATTCAAGCTATGACAAGGCATGGTTACTGTTATCATATAATGTCAATTGATGAATAATTTAGAGTTTACTACATTCAAGTTATAATAAGACACAGTTACTGTTATCTTGAATATAATACTGATTATTCATCAATTGACATTATATGTTATAACAAGACACAGTTACTGTTATCATATAATGTCAATTGATGAATAATCAGCTTACTATATTCAAGCTATGACAAGGCACGGTTACTGTTGTCAAATAACGTCAATTTAATACCTGTGATGATTTTAAAGCAAAACATGTGTCATGTGGCCAGTCACAAACTTTTATATGCAAATATCTACAACTGGAATTCATATCCAGAGATATTTGATATTAAAGATATTAGAAAACATTTGTTGATAATGTGTGACCACCTCAGTCGCTAATGTGAGTCATACATTGCTGGGGCAAGCTTAAAATTAGTGAATCAATGGGATGCTGGGTAAATATGGGTCATTCCTCTGTTGGAGTTACTTCCAGTTCATCAGCACTGCTTGGAAGCGAATCGTGCCGTGAAGTGTCTTCATAATACATATGTTCAATCATATACAAGTTCCATGTCATAGTACAAAAAGGTCAATATGACAACCTACTCTGATCAACCATACTTTTGGTGTGAATGTGCTTTGTAGTCATCCAATAACACATGTTGATCAAATTGTAGGTGAAACTGGACCTCCTCTGAACTTAGATTAAACAACTTCTGGAATACTAAGTTTATTTATTATAACCAACTCTGATTCCTGCTTAAACTAGAATGCTATCACAAACACAGTGATGTATTTCCTTTGTGAAAGTGGGGTTAGATGCCAGACTTTCCAAATGGATACACGTCTCATAATTGCGTGCAATGTTAAGTATGATTTATTTTTGAATGAGACATTTGCCCACATGTTATTTGACCAATCCACATTTTCTTAACATTACTGAGGAAAGAGGAGTGAAAAGAGAGTTCCTTTACTTGTTGGAATGAATTAGGAGTGCCAAGCTATTTATCATTTGGCTTTAAATGTGAAGCTTAACCTGTTTCTGATCAATTTGGATGCTGAACTGTCACCCAGTTGCTGCTTTGAAATGTTGGTTCAGTTTAGAAATTAAAGTTTGTCACTTGTTTCTTTGCCTTGTGTTTAACATTGTTATATTTTCTAGGAAAATTCATAATATATGCTATATAGTATACAAATGTATAGAGATATATCCTGTTAACCTTATTAATTCCATTTTCAAACACTACTCTAATTTGTTTTCAAGTTAATGATAAATAATAAAATTCTAATAAATCTTAAATGGATTAATATTATTGTATATTCACACAGAGAATAGCAACATTATGTTTGAATAACTTATGCATTTACATCTGCATTTCCAATGAACAATGTAATTAAGTAATTACATTCTTAAGTAATTAGATTGCTCATTTCTGTTCAAGTGTCTTAGGTGGCCAGCATTTATAGCTATAATGAGGATGATGAAGTACGTGTGCTACAGAATGATTTGGATCAATTGGTAAGTTGGAAAAATGTTTGTCAAATGACTAACTGGATCATGTGTGTAATATAGATGGGAATCCACTCAATGGTGTGACTAAAGAAAAAGATCATGGCATAATGGTGCATAAGTCATTCAAGCCATCAAGACAGTGCTCTGATGCCAGTTTTAAAACTAATAAATTTATAGGGTGTATTTATGGACACAATGTTTAAGAGTCAAAGGAGGTATTTAACCCTATATAGAAATCACTAGATAGGCCTGAACACTTGAAGCAATATGTACAGTTTTAATCTCTATCTAAGAAAGGATATTGACATTTTTGAAAAGGTTTGGAGGAGTGCTACTAGAAAGAGTCTGAGGTTAGAAGGATTACCTTAAAGGGATAAGCTAAGATCTCTGCTTATCTTCTCTTAAGAAAAGAAGGGTAAAAGGTGATGTTATTGAAATTTACAAGATTACTTGAAGGAATGAGAGGATAAATGCCTCCGATTTCTTTGTGCTGAATCCTGTAAACAAGAGGGCAGAAGTATAAATTTTGGAAAAGTGAGTCTATAAGAGTTCCAAAACTGTAGCAAATAAGGCACACAAACTGTTAAGGTACACAGTATCTATAGATTTACTGGGTGTGGAACCTCATTCAGAATGAAGAATATTCCTAAGGGACCTTGTGCTGAGAAATTTGAGAACCCCTGGTCTAGGTTACAATAAAGACAGTTATATTTTTTCTCACAGTGTGATTGTCTTTTTGACGGAGTTGCCAACAACAGCATTGTAGGCTAGTACTTTCCAAGAGTTTAAGATAAGGACTGATGACTTTCTTATAAAAAACAAACAAAAGGAGTGGATATACAAGGACAGCCTTGAAAGTTTAAATGTTAGCATTTATGGAGAACATGGGGACTGTTGGTCCATTGAGGCTGTTCTCATCCACTCCAATTTTAAAAAATCCTCAAAGCCAGCTCTTATCATTTAGATATTTATCAAGCTTTCCCATAAAATTATTCAGCCAAGTGACTAGTTGTCAATACAACTTGTTATACCAAACATTGCAACTAATCAATGGATGTATATGCTAAAAAACAGGACTAGTAATACAAATACAAGATACCATGACATGTGAATGAATTATGTGAACAACTCACAGATACCAGTATTTCCTCTATGACAATGAACTTCCACTTATAAAGTATCTATAACTTGTTTCTTATAAATGTCGAATCCCATGATAAAAACTATGCGTATAACAACATGCAAATATATGAATAAATTAATGCCACACCAAAAGGGAAACAGGAAAGACAGCACGTGACTATCACTGTATCAAGCACAACTCAACAGATAACGGGAGAAAGAAATTAATATATCTACCGTACAGCATAAAATATAATTATACTGATATTGTTTGTATCTTTTGAGTTTTTTTCAAAAGCAAGACGTACGAAATTCTATGTTATGTTTTTTTTTAAAACCCTTTCACTTTCAGTTAAGCCTTAGTTGAGGGATTGATATAATTTCAATGGTTTCGTCTTCTCTCAACTTTCGTGATTGAAGCCATTAACTTAATTTTTCTACGAAAAATGTTAGTCTAAAACTTCAAACTTACTTTTATTAAAGTTAATACTTACGCAAAACTCGTCTGACGGAAATACCCTTACAATAATAGTTAAGACTGCAAAAAGTTCACTGCAAAAGTTTATATTTTTAAAAACAAAACAATCCTCGGTACAACAACGCCGCCCGAAAATTAAAATTAATTAAAAAAATATCATTTGGAAAAAAAAACGTTTATTTTCGGATTAAAATTATAAATGAAAATATAATAAGCTTTAATTTTAAATAAAAATAGAACACTGAAAAGCTACAACCTACTTTTTTTAAACCTGCTGCTACCTTTTCATTGCGGCTGGCGATATCTGATGTGTTGTCTTCCATGTCGACACATCAAAATACGCATGCTCAATAGCACCAATGGTTATAACTGGGGGAGCTTTAAATTTTATCATAAAACTATAGTAGTAGTAGTATTAAGAACAAATTTAGTTTTATTTAAAAATCATAATTCTCCTGTAAAAATTCTTTACATATTGTCAAAAGAAATCTTATTACACATTTTATGAATAGCAGCTGTAACTTCTTCTAAAATTGCAGAAAATTATGTAAGAAAAAGAAGATTACATACGCAGTCGGTCTACTTTAAATTATTCACTAATAATTTTAGTATTATATCATAATATTCAAACGTAGTATTTTATTGTAAATTCATCTAAAAAGACAAAGAAAAAAATACCACAACAACTTTTTCGTTTAATCGGTTTATGTCAAAACGAGCTTTCTATCTTTATGTGAAAAAATAAGTACGTTGACGTCCGTCAGTTATTGACAAAAATTAGCTCAATTATATATGTAATACTTTTGATCACC